AAAGTCAAAAGGAAAAGTGTAGAAGTAATCTAGAGAGTGGTAAATAATGTGACACAGCACAGTCAAAAGGTAAAGTGTCGAGGTAATCTAGAGAGTGGTAAATAATGTGACACAGCACAGTCAAAAGGTAAAGTGTCGAGGTAATCTAGAGAGTGGTAAATAATGTGACACAGCACAGTCAAAAGGTAAAGTGTTGAAGTAATCTATAGAATGGTAAAGAACATGTGACACAGCTCAGTCAAAAGTGTTTTTATTATTGCAAGCATTTCCAGGTAAAGAAAACACTCTAGATATCAAAATTATTCAAAGAGATGAAAATACCCCCTGTGACTGATCGATTAATTCTCAGTAACCTAGGTTTTGAAAAAACACTATATTCATCTGTAAGCTCTTTCAAATATCATTAAGATATATGTAGTAATTTTTAATGTAAACAAAATAATAACCTATATCACCAGAATCTCATCACTACAGCCTCATCAGGAGCAACTGATAACTTAAAAGTTCACTAATCCAGTTCGTTATTGTATTTAAATTAACAGGTATGTCTAGTAATAAACTCTAGTTTGAGTTAAACAAAGTTAAGAATAACTGTTTCATCGTACAACATTAGTTAAAACTTACTAGAACTAAATCACAGATTTTCTCCTTAATGGAAGGAAATATGCCTTAATTCCAGGAGGCCTAAAAGATAGTCAAATAACTGGAAAGCTTTAAAGATAGCAACCAAGTGAACAATAGACTGGAAAACTTTTTATGTTATTTAAGAAATTAACTCATAAGCTGCTTGTTTGAAAAGAAAAACAATCAGGAGAAAATTTGTGACTTCAATATCAATTTGATTGAAAACATGCATAATGTGGAGTTTAAAAACTGTATTAAAGCACAAAGTGTTGTTAACAGTAAGTTTGAAACCTTAGTTATCAAATAACTATGGCAGATCTATCCAAAAAGGTGTTGAACATTGAATGAAAATTTTATTATTAGATAATAAAACTTAATTTATCTTTTTAAGAAAAGAAAGGTAACAGTGACATTATGGCTAATGAATCTAATAAAAGTAAATGATCCAAAATTTTTGTAAAGGAAAGTTTTGAATGAGAGAGTTATACTCACTCAAAATAAAGATAATCTAAAATCAAACAGAGATCTTACCAAAAGACTTGAAAGTAAAATAAGAATATTTTTAAATGAATTGAATAATAATACTTATATTTCTCCACAACTAGTGAAGAGTTTAAGACCACATAATAGGTAAATCCCTGAATTCAAATGGCCGTCTTAAAGATTGTAAGTTTGAATTAACACCAAGACAAGTAGCATCTGCTTGCAGATCTCCAATGGAAATTTTATCAATGGTTTTGGATAGACTACTGCTAATTGTATTTAGTCTCTGCTCATACCAACTGCACAGTTTTTTAATAGTTACATTATGACTTACACCTCCCCTCTAAAATATTTTTATTCTGTTTATAATGGATGTTCTTCAATTATATCCAATTATAACAACTGAATAAGGTATAGATTGTGTTATGACCATGATAAAATAGGGAAGACCAAGATCTTTAGATATTTCAACTTACTGATTAGAACAAGCTCCGTGGTTCATATTAGGTAATGAGTATGTAAGATTTAATGTGAAATTTCATAAACAAATTAAACGAATAGCTATGGGTAACAAAATAGCTGTAGTAATGTTTATGTATATACTTAAACTGAAATAAGGAGATTATATAACAGCATCAATCTGGTACAGATGATAGATTTGGAGCATGGAACACTAAATTTTAGTCACTTCTTAGTATCCATGAATTACCAGCTACTGTCCATTTGTTAATAAAATTTACATATGCCAAATGAGGTAGAAATTGACCATTTTTTAGATAGCATCATACATGTTAAGGATGAAAATCATTACTCATAAGTTTAGCAAATTATCAATTAAGCCCTTTGTTTACATTTCCATTCATACTTTCTCCTGCAGTGAATTGACATGTAGTTACTGATTATCTTCATATAATAATAATAATAATATATTAAAAAAAAAAAAAAAAATGAAAGCTAACACACAGGAATATATGCAAAACACAGTAAGTGATTTTGATAGGCAAAAATAAAACAGAGAAGATTCCTTGAAACACTGAATTAAAGGAATGCACATTTAAAGCTCAGGTTACTTAGGTGATACTATATATGAGCAATAATAACCATAAAACTGAAGAAAATAGAACACCAAACTTGCCTATTAAAAATTTCAAAACCAGAAACCTCTCTTAAATTCTTAATAATAAGTTCAGCATATAAAAAATAAGTGTATGAACACTAAGTATGGACTATATGATTGGTGGCATGTAACCTGTAGTAGTTGCTCTGGTACGTATATAGAAGAAACGTTCCGACCAACATGTGACAATATATTTGAACGAGTATGTGTCATACCTAACCTCAATACTATTAATGCTATTGCTAAGCATTATATTAAAGAACATAGGTTACCACAAGCAAGTAAGATCTTATCCAAGTCCTATTTTTCTAGACCAAAAGATTAAAGAATCCCTTTTAATCATTAATATTTATGTAAGATATAATAGGACAGAATTATTGTAACGTACATGAGATTCCACAAGCAAATAACATCTTATTGGATGTGAAGATATTATCCTATTTTTCTAGACCAAAAGATTAAACAATCCCTTTCAATTAAGAAAAACAAACCTAAAACAAATAACTATAAAGGGTGACTTCTAGTGTAGAGACGTTGCTTGTATGCTTAAGATTTTAATACATTTTAATTTTTACGAAGTCTCAATAGACTTTCACAATGATTAATGTATATTTTTAACATTTTAATGTGTACATATTGATATGATAGGATAGAAGAAAACAGATATCTGTAGACAATCCAATAGATAAAGTTATGAAGATGTATTTCATATTAACATATCCTCATCTAAATCCTGTTATTTTAATATTGTTTATTTACCATTGTTAGTTCAGTTTATTTCAACAGTTTAAATTCAAGAAAGTTTGGTATTTTTATTATGACCTGAACTTTTTAGACACATGTATTAATGTTTGATTAACTGACAATGGTGTTCCAGGTTAATTTCAATTGGATGAGTAATCTTGCAAGTTAGCGATAACTCTTAATGAAGCTGTAGTAGTGAAATATTGAGCAAATGAAGATACATTCTAGATAGGGGTTATTTTATTTACTTTAACAGATATGTTTAGTAATAAACTTCAGATTGTGTTAAAAAGGTAAATATAATCATTAACTGTTTCAGCACGGGTTCAGTCCCTCGGGACGACCTCGTAACCATTTTGTGCTTAGTTTTCATAATATAACTTTTAAATTAGTAAGTGTATGTTAACGAAATTTGGCACATTATTAGTGAACGTTACAATGCCTTCATTAGCAAAATATAAAATTTATTCATTTAGTCTTAAGATTTGTAAGGCAATGTTTTTCTCATGCCTTTTTTTTTCTTTTCACATGTTGCCTATCCAACGTGCAAAGTAATTTTAATTTTAAGATTAAAAATACTTTTATGCATCAGAAAATTTTCAACTTTCACATGCGAAATCTTTATAATGTCCAGATAATTATCAAATGTTTCTTAAGAAAAAACTGATCTCATGACCACCATCAAAAATTAGGAAATTAATATAAATTATTCCATTTTTTCATTCTAGAATGACAACAAATTATAACACGAAAACATAAATGTTTAGACTAAATAGCTTAAATCTCATAACATTATACATTTATATAGATATTTATTATATTGACCTTTCAGTTGTGCTTGGCTAACAATACAGAAGTTACAATTACGCGGCACACGTGTACTCATGTAACCGTATCAAATAATATTAAACTGACCGTTAGTCTTTACAAAGTTACCTGTCTTGGCTGTGTTTTAGTAGAGTAGTATTTTGTAAAATATAGTCACATTTCAATTATTATACATTATATATTTATATAGATTATTGCTATTTAGAAATAAGTTCTTA